TGGATGGAGGGAGTGAGAGACAGAGTGGAGGGAGGGAGTGAGAGACAGAGTGGAGGGAGGGAGTGAGAGACAGAGTGGAGGGAGGGAGTGAGAGACAGAGTGGAGGGAGGGAGTGAGAGACAGAGTGGAGGGAGGGAGTGAGAGACAGAGTGGAGGGAGGGAGTGAGAGATAGATTGGAGGGAGGGAGTGAGAGATAGAGTGGAGGGAGGGAGTGAGAGACAGAGTGGAGGGAGGGAGTGAGAGACAGCTGAAGACGTTGTATTTCACGCACTTGAGAAATCATAATGATGCCAACGAAGGCCAAGTGTCTACGAGCAAGACATGCGCCTCGTGGCCGCTTACAGGAGCTGAAGCCCTTGTATACTGTGAGGACTTATCTTCGGATTAAAACACCGTAATAGTGACGTTTTCTACGCAACGTTCTCGATAGGTTAGGTGGGTTGCTTGGGGTCGTTTCAGGTCAGGCAAAACAGCTGCGATTTGTTACGGAGTTGAAATTCGAGAGAATAGGTTTATATTTTACCGTATATCTGTAGCGGAATTTGCATCACTACACATTAACCAGCGCTCTTGTGTGGCAGGAGTGATTGGCACACCGGCTCTGCTATTGGTCAGTAACTGGCCAATCCCAAAGCTGACTGTTATAATACTGTGAATGTGGGGCCTGACAGCTGAGTGGACAGCGCTTGGGATTAGTAATTCAGAGGTTCCGGGTTCGATCCCCGGTGGAGGCGGAAACAAAGGGACAGAGTTTCTTTTACCCAGATACGCCTGTTCAAATAACAGTAAACAGGTACCTGGGAGTTAGACAGCTGCTGCGGGCTGCTTCCTGGGGATGTGTAACAAAAAGGAGGCCAGGTCGAGGACCGGGCCGCGGGGACGTTAAGCCTCGATATCATCTCAGGATAACCTCGCCTGTCAACCTCACTACCTCAGGTTGACAGGCTGAGGGAGGCAGCTCCAGTACCTCAGCTGTCAGCCAGCCTCACTTCCAGCATAATAATGAGTCGTCCACAAAGAGGATAGTGAGTTCCGTCACTGTAGCAGTGATCTCAGACTGACGGAAACACCTGACCCTGGCCAGGTTTGACAGTGAATCACTGCACCAATACGCAATAACTCCTCCAGAGGCTCGCTGCTCATATGATGCCTACCTGGAATTGCGGCCCCGCTGTGATTCCTACCTGGAACACCCTGGCGTCTGCTCCAGCGGTGAGTGGTTCCTCATTCCAGATCAGCAAACGATGAAATTATTGCACAATCAACTCATCAGTCTTGCATCTGAAGCTCTGCTGATTCTCTATAATCCTCAAGGATATATATGACAGCTTGTCATACCCTCAGGGGTATGTATGACAGCTTGTCATACCCTCAGGGGTATGTATGACAGCTTGTCATACCCTCAGGGGTATGTATGACAGCTTGTCATACCCTCAGGGGTATGTATGACAGCTTGTCATACCCTCAGGGGTATGTATGACAGCTTGTCATACCCTCAGGGGTATGTATGACAGCTGCCATACCCTCAGGGGTATGTATGACAGCTTGCCATACCCTCAGGGGTATGTATGACAGCTTGTCATACCCTCAGGGGTATGTATGACAGCTTGTCATACCCTCAGGGGTATGTATGACAGCTTGTCATACCCTCAGGGGTATGTATGACAGCTTGTCATATCCTCAGGGGTATGTATGACAGCTTGTCATACCCTCAGGGGTATGTATGACAGCTTGTCATACCCTCAGGGGTATGTATGACAGCTTGTCATACCCTCAGGGGTATGTATGACAGCTTGCCATGACCAAATTCTACCTTGTGACAGACCCGTCCTCTTCCCTCTACCTCAAAGAGATCTACATGAACTCCGCAAGTGGAAGGAAGACTTTAGCTTTGATGTCCAAAGGGATTGGAAAGGATGGGGGAGGTAGAGGGATGGGCAGATGAAATTCAGGAAGAGGATGCGGGTGTAGAGAGAGAGGAGGTTTGAAAGTTGGGTGGCCTGTCCACCATGGGTTGACATGTGTGTATGTGTCGTTTGTTTGCGTGTGTGTTATGTTGGGTTGTCAGTACATTGGCTGGGGGGGGGCTAGTGTTTGTGACCCTGTTGGTGTCCTAAAGCCCTAGAGCCGATGGAGTTGGCTGTAGGAGATAAATCTTAGCAACATCAGCGGAGTTATACTTCTGGTAGCACAACAAAGAGTTTTTGGTTTTATATTTTTTGTAGTAGTTTTATTTATTTATTTATTTATTTTTATTTATTTATTTATTTTTCTGTCTTTATTCTTCATTAGGTGTAGATGGGGTCCGGGATGGGCCACTCATCTGGGTCGTCTGGCAGGCCGCTTAGTATTTGAGGTCTTGGGAAGGCCTCATCATGGATGTGTCTGATCACTTTTTGTTGGAGAGTGATTCTTCTGGTTGTGTGTGGTGGTTCGTGGATCTCGTAGTCGCTGGTGGTGTTTACTGCTACGTAGGGATCTTCTGGGTCTGGGACATACATGTTCTTCATGCGGTACAGGTGTCTTCTGGCCAGGTAGCTGAACCTGATGTTCATTGGCTTCATGTTGAGCGTCTCATGGATCTGGTCAGTTCTTACCCTGTCCATCAGAGTCAGGCCCTCCGCAAAGCGAAGTGCTTTGTTTTGTACTCGTTGGATCTTCAGCATGTTGGTGTTGTTGGTGAGGTTCAGGAGGATATTAGGCCTTATGATCATTCTGTACAGGTGGAGCTTGATGTGGGATGGGGCTTGCTTGAAACGGAAGAGCCTCGCCAGTGAGCCCCGGGCCATCGCTGTCTTCTGGGATACGTACTGGGAGGAGTTGAGTAGCCTGTTGAAGTTGTACCCGAGCACTGTGTTGGAGTTTGAGATGGCTATGGGTTCACCCCTGATTCTAATCCCCCCCCCCCCCACCCCCACTTGGGCTGGACGGTACAGCGACGGTCTCGCGTCATGCAGGTCGACGTTCAATCCCCGACTGTCCAAGTGGTAGGGCACCATCCCTTTCCCCCGTCCCATCCCAAATCCTTATCCTGACCCTTTCCTAGTGCTATATAGTCGTAATGGCTTGGCGCTTTCCCTTGATAATTCCCTTCCCCCCCCCTCGTTTTCGATTGAGACGGCCATACACCCGACAGTGCTGAATTGGATCTTTTCTGGGTTAGTGGTGATCCTCCATTTCCTTTCCCAGTTAGCAGTCCTGGCTAGTTCTACATTTGCCTTACAGGTTACAGTTGCATGCTTGGCCGCTTGGCCGCTTGGGTTAGATGTTATTACGTGTGTTACGTCGTCTGCAAATTGCAAGATAATGGTGTCCCTATACTCTGGTTGGGGCAGGTCGTTTACAAAGATGTTGAAGAGAACCGGGCTCAAGCATGATCCTTGGGGGACTCCAGCTGTTGGGGTGAAGGCTGCGGCCTCTTTCACCTTGAAGCTGGGGGTAACTTGCCTGTTCTTTAGGAAATTTCTGCTCAGCCTGAGAAGGGTCCAGTTTTGGGCTGGTAAGTCTGCTAATTTGTACACCAGACCATCGTGCCATAGGCTGTCGAAGACCTTGTGTACGTCTCTCGTCGCAATCAGGGCTACCTGTTTTTGCTGGCGAATTGAGCTTACAGCATCGTAGATGATGTTTATCGCGTGCTGGGTTGATCTTTGTGCTCGAAAGCCAAACTGTTTTTCTGTGAAGAGGTTGTTGTACTCCATGCATGTAGTAGTTGAGACGGTTTGACATGAGTTTTTCAAAGCACTTGCCTATTGTGTCTAAGAGGGAGATTGGACGGTAGTTGGCAGGTTGGTGGAGGTATTTCTTGGGTTTGGGAATAAATATCATCATGACTGACTTGAAAGCTACCGGAATGTGACCAGATGCCAGCATGGCGTTGAATAGGTTGAGTTGGGATTGCAGAAGATTGCCTGGTAGGAGTTTGATCTGCATTGCTTTGATCCCCGATGGTCCTGAGGGCCTTTTCTCGGATGCTTTTGATGACTCCTCTCATCTCTACCATAGTTATGGGTCTTGTTAGAGGGTGGTCGTCTTCTAGGGTTGTCAGGTCTATCAACGGGGTGCTGTGTAGGGAGGCGGCGTTTTCAGTTGTCCATTGGTTGACACGTTCAAAGTGAGTGTTGTTGAAGGCTCTGCTGTTTGATGCCGTGAGTGTCTTTCTCCATACTGCTCCCATGAGGTCAGCCTGGTCTTGTGGGTCTTCTATTTTTTCTTGTTGTTCCTCGTCATCTTCTTCAAGGACTGTGTGTACGAGGTGGGTGAGGTTGGAGTTAACCGATCCCAGGAGCTGTCTGAACTTACGCCAGAAAGCTCCTGGCTGTCACATGTTTTTTAATATAAAAAATTGCAAGATTTTCCATATTGATGTTAACAGAGCCCATCACAACTATCAAATCATCAACATTACCTTACAGCAGATTGATGAAGAAAAGGATCTTGGACTCACTGAAAGTTGTGCAAGAAGGTGGAGGGAAGGGAGCGAATTATCACGTGAAAGATCAAGCCATTACGACTATATAGAACTGGGAAGATATCAGGATAAGGATTTGGGATGGGACGGGGGAAAGGAATGGTGCCCAACCACTTGGACGATCGGGGATTAAACGCCCACCGGCATGAAGTGAGACCGTCGCTCTACCGTCCACTCCAAGTAATTGGACAAGATGGAGCTGCAGTAAAAAATATTCAAACGAAACTTTAACTTCACGGAAAAGAAAGATGTTATTCAACTGATCATTGTGGTCAATCATCTCAATCATCACAATCATCTCAAGATAACCTCAAGATGACCGGATCTCTGGTAGCTCCTGGATTACTGCATGAGCTTGGAGACCTCATCTGCTGAAAGACATATTTGACACTAGTGAACATTCAACACCAGGCGACAAAAATCTATCCTGAACTAAGTCAACTCTCATACCAAGAAAGGTTGAAGGCCACAAGGCTAACAACACCGCAAACCAGACAAGACAAGGCTCATCTCATCGAAACTCTTAAAATGCCGAAGAATTTGGAGGATATTGATCCAGACCACTTCTTTAAAAAGGTAACACGATACACAACAAAGGTTCCAAGTTCAACAAGTTCCAATGCAGGTCAGAAAGGTATCAAGTTCAACAAGTCCCAATGCAGGTCAGAAAGGTTCCAAGTTCAACAAGCCACAATGCAGGTCAGAAAACAGAAGATGCTGTGTCATCCCTGGCGTTATAAACCCAAGGAATCACCGAAGCCGGAAATGCCAAAATGCTCCTGCAATTTAAGATCCAGCTTGATACGAGCATCACCACAAAGGGGGTGGACCTTTGACAAGCCACCGGCTGCCTGTGCTTGTCCTCACCACTAGAGAGATGGTGTCTCTCGGGTAAATATTAGATATGCCAACTGAATCATTGTGAGGATGATAGTCAACACAGTTACAGGGATGAAGGTAAAGTCGGGCAGAGTAGAGAAGATGGAGGAAGGTTAGAGGTTGATGAACAATAGGGAAGGTGGCAAATGGTAGTGAAAGTGAAAAAGAATAAGATAGGTGATAAAGGAATATAGGAAGAGAAGGGTGGATAGCGAGAGAGAGGTTAGAGAGTGGGAAGACTGAGAGGAGGCAGTGGAGGAGTGGGGTTGGAGGGTGGGGGGGGGGAGACCAGGACGAGGCAAGATACCCCTTCTTAATATTCCATAAATATAAATATCTGTTTGTCGGTCTGAGGCTGGACGACACAAGCCTCCAGAGACTACCTTCATCCAATTCTTTCCAGTAATTGCTGTTGGATACATGCCCGACATGGCCAGATCTGAACTGGAATCAGAGAAATTAATGCATCGGAGCACTGCGCAAGACTTACTCCCTCGAGAAATTTCAACAATATGATTCGACTTTGAATTATTACAAAGACTTAAAAATCTAAACAAAAATTCTACCTATCATACTTTGGCCATAAGAGTCAAGTACATGTGTGTAAACGACACGTCTGGGATAGAAAATATATTCTTTCTCTCCAGCCAACAATGATTCATCTATTCCCTTCCCCTCCCCCCTCTAGTGTGACAGAGGGAGAGACAGATAAAGAGAAGACGAGAGAGAGACAGAATGTGTGTGTGTGAGAGAGAGAGAGAGAGAAGAGAACATAATTACGTGAGACGTTCACTCCCTGCTTCTCGGGTTGCTAATTACCGTGACTTAGAGCCCCCTTCCCTCTCCTGCGTCTCTCTCTCCCACCATCATCCAAACTGCCTTATTTTCTCTCTCTGCTTCTCTGTTTCTTCATGCTTTTCAGCTTTTGTTTTTTCTCATTCTAACCATTTAAACAAGCTGTGAAAGAGGATTATAGCAGGTGATGAAAAGTGCATCGAGTCACACCACCTGGAAAAGGTAGGTGGGTTGAATGACACCACCTGAAGAGGAGAGGTGTTTGGGATCATGCCACCTAGTGAGGGGAGGTGGGCTGGATCATGCCACCTAGCGAGGGGAGGTGGGCTGGATCATGCCACCTAGTGAGGGGAGGTGGGCTGGATCATGCCACCTTGTGAGGGGAGGTGGGCTGGATCATGCCACCTTGTGAGGGGAGGTGGGCTGGATCATGCCACCTAGTGAGGGGAGGTGGGCTGGATCATGCCACCTAGCGAGGGGAGGTGGGCTGGATCATGCCACCTAGTGAGGGGAGGTGGGCTGGATCATGCCACCTTGTGAGGGGAGGTGGGCTGGATCATGCCACCTTGTGAGGGGAGGTGGGCTGGATCATGCCACCTTGTGAGGGGAAGTGGGCTGGATCATGCCACCTAGTGAGGGGAGGTGGGCTGGATCATGCCACCTTGTGAGGGGAGGTGGGCTGGATCATGCCACCTTGTGAGGGGAGGTGGGCTGGATCATGCCACCTAGTGAGGGGAGGTGCGTTGGATCATGCCACCTAGTGAGGGGAGGCGGGCTGGATCATGCCACCTAGTGAGGGGAGGTGGGCTGGATCATGCCACCTAGTGAGGGGAGGTGGGCTGGATCATGCCACCTAGTGAGGGGAGGTGGGCTGGATCATGCCACCTAGTGAGGGGAGGTGGGCTGGATCATGCCACCTTGTGAGGGGAGGTGGGCTGGATCATGCCACCTTGTGAGGGGAGGTGGGCTGGATCATGCCACCTTGTGAGGGGAGGTGGGCTGGATCATGCCACCTAGTGAGGGGAGGTGCGTTGGATCATGCCACCTAGTGAGGGGAGGTGGGCTGGATCATGCCACCTAGTGAGGGGAGGTGGGCTGGATCATGCCACCTAGTGAGGGGAGGTGGGCTGGATCATGCCACCTAGTGAGGGGAGGTGCGTTGGATCATGCCACCTAGTGAGGGGAGGTGGGCTGGATCATGCCACCTAGTGAGGGGAGGTGGGCTGGATCATGCCACCTAGTGAGGGGAGGTGGGCTGGATCATGCCACCTAGTGAGGGGAGGTGGGCTGGATCATGCCACCTAGTGAGGGGAGGTGGGCTGGATCATGCCACCTAGTGAGGGGAGGCGGGCTGGATCATGCCACCTAGTGAGGGGAGGTGGGCTGGATCATGCCACCTAGTGAGGGGAGGGGGTTGGATCATGCCACCTAGCGAGGGGAGGTGGGCTGGATCATGCCACCTAGTGAGGGGAGGTGGGCTGGATCATGCCACCTAGTGAGGGGAGGTGGGCTGGATCATGCCACCTAGTGAGGGGAGGTGGGTTGGATCATGCCACCTAGCGAGGGGAGGTGGGCTGGATCATGCCACCTAGTGAGGGGAGGTGGGTTGGATCATGCCACCTAGTGAGGGGAGGTGGGTTGGATCATGCCACCTAGTGAGGGGAGGTGGGCTGGATCATGCCACCTAGCGTGGGGAGGTGGGCTGGATCATGCCACCTAGCGAGGGGAGGTGGGCTGGATCATGCCATCTAGTAAGAAAAAAAGTTATCATTTGAAGTCAGAAAGAGAAAATCGCTTTATAATTTATATCACCTAGAATCCGCTGTCTCTAGAACCTGCATATGTAGCCCAAGAGGCATTGTGTCCAAGGATGGCAACTGGTCAAGCAACATACATGATGTTGAACATGAACTCCCTTGCCACGCTACACAATACACATGCAGAGGTGCTATATGTCAAACCTCTGAACTTAAGGAACTGATCTACATTAACAGCCTACGGGAACTAAATCCCACTATTGAAGATTAAAAAAAGGAACGGTTATTTAAATAAGTTACTGAAATATACTAATAAATGGTACCATAATAAGTACCATAATAAATAGTTACAACCATAAAATTATGGTTGGAACAAAATTAATAAAGGAAGCAGAGCAAAAACTAACATAGTTCAAGAGGGTGTAAAAGGAGACAATGATGAAAGAGCGAAATTGAAATCAAAATTAGCAATTAATACTGTGAAGACTCTTGACGCTGAGAGGGAGACAATGACGACAGGAAATTATGAGAGATCGGCTTGAGAAACATCTGAGAAGTGACGCTGATGAATTGTCAAAAACTTATGTCTTGACAGCTAGACTGGTAATTCGGTCAGCCAGTGTCTATGTTCCTCAGATTGTCTTTGTTTACGCTGCAATAAGATAATAAGTATAAAAAGACTGTACAAAACAAACACAAAATATTTAAGAATCAGAGGTTTTAGACACAAATAAACTAACCTATTTACATAAAAATATATAGAAAAACAAATCATATTTTTACAACTACAAAGTGGTATAGCTCTCTTCTAGGTGTATACACTGAGACTCCACTCTAGTCCTGGACTATACTGAAGGCTACAGTATATTTCAGTTTGTCTTGCAAGACACAATGACGGGATGAACGTTACACTGAAGGGATACACGACACACTGAAGGAGGGATACACGACACACTGAAGGTATACACGACACACTGAAGGAGGGATACACGACACACTGAAGGAGGGATACACGACACACTGAAGGAGGGATACACGACACACTGAAGGTATACACGACACACTGAAGGAGGGATACACGACACACTGAAGGAGGGATACACGACACACTGAAGGTATACACGACACACTGAAGGAGGGATACACGACACACTGAAGGAGGGATACACGACACACTGAAGGGATACACGACACACTGAAGGTATACACGACACACTGAAGGAGGGATACACGACACACTGAAGGAGGGATACACGACACATTGAAGGTATACACGACACACTGAAGGAGGGATACACGACACACTGAAGGAGGGATACACAACACACTGAAGGAGGGATACACGACACACTGAAGGAGGGATACACGACACACTGAAGGCGGGATACACGACACACTGAAGGAGGGATACACGACACACTGAAGGTATACACGACACACTGAAGGGATACACGACACAATGATGGGATACACGAAACACTGAAGGGATACACAACACAATGATGGGATACACGACACACTGATGAGATACACGACACACTGATGGGATACACGACACACTGAAGGGATACATGACACACTGAGGAGATACACGACACACTGATGGGATGGATACACGACACACTCAAGGGATAAACGACACACTCAATGGATACACGACACACTCAAGGGATGCACGACACACTGATGGGATACACGACACACTGAAGGGATACACGACACAATGATGGGATACACGACACACTGAAGGGATACACGACACACTGAAGGGATACACGACACACTGATGAGATACACGACACACTGAAGGGATACACGACACACTGATGGGATACACGACACATTGAGGAGATACACGACACACTGAAGGGATACACTACACATTGAGGAGATACACGACACACTGATGAGATACACGACACACTGAAGGGATACACTACACATTGAGGAGATACACGACACACTGATGAGATACACGACACACTGATGAGATACACGACACACTGAAGTGATACACGACACACTGAAGGGATACACGACACATTGAGGAGATACACGACACACTGATGAGATACACGACACACTGATGGGATACACGACACACTGATGGGATACACGACACACTGAAGGGATACAAGATACAATGAAGGGATACATGCCACCTTGAGGAGATACACGACACAATGTCGTGTTCTGACTAATCTTACATAGATAGGACTCTATCTATGTAAGATAGAGTCCTATCTATGTAAGACTATAGGATAGATA